GATTAATAAAATAAAATTAATTATTAAAAAATATTAAAAACGTACTAACATTTCCTAGTAAATTATTACTATACAACTAAAATTATTGACGCTTAATTACAGACCTGCGGTCTCAAAGACCTCACCAATTTGATGTTTTGCTCTCCTACCGAATTCGTGCCTACGTAACTTTTCAAAGAATTAAAAAAACAATCTACTAGATAATTATAATTAATATATAAAGTAATATATTACTTGATACTTGGTCGTTAAATTTGTTTAAACTAAAGGCTATTCTACAATGCAACGGAACACGGAACATATAAGCGACAAGATCTTCAATTATTTATTTACCTAATTCCATTGGATCCTCAAATCAAGAAGGAGAAAATGGTTTTTAAAACACAGCGTAGCAACTGCTTCCGTATCGTTGCTATGTATTTTTAACGTAAGCCGTTACAGATTACGGAACAGGGCATGCTCGATGCTACTCATCACGTTCCGTGCTCCGTGAAATACGTAATATTTCGCCAATATTTCCATGCGTGAAATGGAAATACCTGTTTACCTGTTTAACTGTTTACCTGTTTCCTTAAATACCATTACCTGTCACCTGTCATTACCAACTCTATAGACGAGGTCATTATCAATATCGTTAGAGAAATCAAATTTCTCCTACGATAAAAGTCATCGTGACTTTAAAAATGAAGTAATGATTTACTTATCTGTATGAATAAACGCATACACATTTTTTTTAATATTTATATATTGACAGATCATGACAGGTGACAGGTAATGACATTTGACAATGACGTTTCGTGCTCCGTGAAATCCTTAAAAACCCTAGCAACCGCTTCCGTATCGTTGCCATGCCCAAAACGTCACCAAAATCGTAGAGACTTAGTAAACGCTCGGTTTTAAAAACGATTTTCTCCTTTTTAATTGGAGAATCCAATGGAATTAGGTAAATATACAATTGAAATTCTTGTCGCTCATACGTTCCGTCTTACGTGTTCCGTTGCATTGTAGAATGGCCTTAAGGGTATACATATTCCATAATTAAACCACAGTTGTGGTTATTAAATTTCAGCCAATGACATCGATTGATTTTTGTCAGCAGTCGAAATCAATCGATGCAATTGGCTGAAATTTAATAACCGCAACCGTGATTTAATTACGGAATATGCTCTAAGTGGAGAGCGACGTAAAACTTTACTTTTGAGCTATTCTATTCGTTGCAATGACCTCACAATCCAGTTCGACAGATTGAGGTCTCACAGACCTCGTCGTGTAAAATACGTTTCTAAGGTCAGACCTGTATAGGTAAGGGGTAATATCATAATGACAATAAAAAATATAAAATAATATTCATTAAACGTATACGATCGTTAGTGTTGATTATCTATTATTACATATATACACGATTATACACGATAAAATTACCAGCTGAAGTTGAAAACGATTGAACGATTCTGTTAATCGAGGCAGTGATACCTTGTTAAGGTGGTTGGAGCGTGAGGGCACTTCCAGGATACTGATCTGAATTTTGTATATCTTCCTGGTAGGTGCTTAATGGTCGTGCGTACAAACTTTAAAAATTATTTATCGACTAGCTTGCGAGATACACTATATGAAAGTAGCAAAAATTGCACTACATATAAAGATATACTTCGTGTGTTAAAATAACTATATATTTGTTGACATAATTCAGCTTTTAGGTGGTAAAAGTAGATAAAATGTCTAGGAGATGCTCCTTTTACATGGAATATTACTACGATGATTTATAAATTAAAAATCTTGGAATTTTTTTATTATTTTGTATTGCATTATTTAAACAATAGGTAATACGAACAATTGTAAAATGATATATCTCTGTCCTTCCGCTTGTTTCAAAGATAATACCTTAGGTAGGAAATGTTTTGTAATGAACGACATACAGGGTATTCACCGAAATAAGAATACTATTATTATTATGCTGCTCCAACCTCCTTAAACAAATAAAGGTATATAAAGTTTATCATGTTAATAATAATATTACGTTAACTTTCATTTCATTAACGATGTCACAGTGCTCTGAATGACGAAATCAGTTATTCACGGTCAATTTCAACTGGTGAGTATGTCCTGAATAACTCTGTATCATATACAGTCGATCCCCGGGCACTGATACAGGTTGGGAACCGGGCACCGCAGGCACTGTTACGCCGTCGACTCCACTCCCTTGACCAATGAGAGTCTAATGTCAGAGCCGTTGAAATATATATTGGAAAGGAAACGAGAACGCTAAATGTTAAAATATATTTTTATTTACTATAGCGATTAAGTTTTAGCATCTACCAGGCATGCATTCATATTTATTACAAATGTAGAGACAATTTACATATAAAAATATTTTTATTTATTAACACACATAATATAAACATACTCACCTTTTCATACAACAGACAAAACCATACGCAGTAAAAACAAATTTCCGTCTGAGGCTTATCGAAAATCCGTCAACAATCACGCAGAATCACTTTGTAACTCGCTCTTTAATTAACTGCTATCAAGCCTAGAGTCGCAGTGTATCTTTCTGTAAACTACAATATAGGCAAAGATGTGCATTTGAAATTAATTTAGATGGGAAACAAATATGTACTGCGTGTTGATTTAAAAAAAGTCGTGATGGGGTTCACTAGAAAAACTCAGCTCTGGTGACAATGTGCTGTTGTAACAATGCCTGAAGCTCAGCTGATAATTGTTATTACGTACGACGATTAGTAGTATTTAATATTCTTTAGTGTAGTTATGATAATGACGATTTAAGTAGCTATACCAATGAATAACTATTCAATGTTAATATGTTTTTAATATATTGTACTTTATATGTATATCATTCTAATTCAATAAGCTAATGCTTATAATAAGTGTAAATCCTTAGTACCCTTATATAATTTCAATACTTTCGGATGCGGAACAATAATAAAGAATTTATTTCTTGAATATTTTAGACTTCCCCTTACCGCTTGTACTAGGTGTACAAATTAACTCTTAGCCTTTTTTGCATAATGATGTTTTTTTCATCTCGCCATCTTTCAGACAACTATCGAATTTGGCTTCGGAAAAGGAGTGGTTCTTTTTTCTGAACATTGAAATTTCCATCCTAAAACCTTTGATACCACTTTTTACACGTGCTATAAAACACAGCATTGTCACCTAAGGTAAAACAAATCATTTCCTTAGCCCCTGCAGCATTTTTTCAGTTGGAATACGAAAAGCAGGCATTGCTTAAAATGTTGCTTTTTGAATGACATCGCTTTCACTACTGTTTTTTGATGTTACATCAGGAACACTGTCAACTATTATACCTCATTTAAAAGCTTAATCACTTTAAAGTTACCCTGCGGCGGGGAAAACATTAAAATTCATATTTTCCGTCATTTATTAAATTTTGGGGCCAAATATTATTTGTTTAATTAATTTGTACTCTAACATTTGGAATGCTTACATCAAATGTGTTTATAATCGGAGTTTCACTACATTTTATTAATTTTGATCTACTAGTCCCTTAAGGAAACAGTTAGGATCGACAGAAGTAATTTATGTTTCCGCTTCGAGTAATAAGGATAATATACAAATACAAAGATAAATGTACAACGCCGATCATCTGGATTTATGAGTGACGGCGAAAAATATTTAAGTGTTCCAAATTTCTACAAGGAACAGTTAGATATATCAAACAGATGACAACAGCGAGTCCTAAATAGTTTTTGACTTCAAAAAAAAATAGTATTGTGGTACAAAAGAATGTATATCAACTATAAGCATTTAAATAATATTGTATAATTTACTAAAAATTTGGTACCGCGGAGAAAAATCTGAGTAAAACTATCATCAGTGCCATCTAGTGGCGACTAAAGAGAAAGAACGTACGAATAAGACAAAAGGACGACAAAATTGAAAAATATAAATGGATAAACGAAGTTTCTTCTAACTTTCGACTGTGTGGATCGATTTAAATAATTTTTCACTTGCTCGATACGTAAGAGTTGCGGTGTGGTGAGTATTTTGCATAATAGTTCTTCGTATGTCGAATAGTTTTTTAATAATGTCATGCACTTTTTCAATAGTGAAATTTCCTCCGAGTGTATGTGACTATAGCTGAGCCTCTTGCACTAAGCACAATTCTACCAAATGTTTTGATTACTATATAATAGTTGCGTTTCCATGTTTCAATAAAGTGCATTTTAATAAAATAAAAGACATGGAAAATATATCAGCAGGTAATAAATAAGAATGGTTCTATTTTTGGAATAATATTTTCATCGTATATAAATGGCTTTTGGATGATAATCTCGTGCATAGTGAAGATGAGCATACTGCCGGCAAAAAAAAAATTATTTATATTGACGTTATTTCATTGCTAGACATAAAACTTGTGTTAATATCAATGAAGAAAATTTCAGGACGATTAAGTATTATTATGATGATATGCCCTATTGATAATGCTGTGTTAAAGTATGAATAGTGCAGATGCAGAATTCAAAATTTGTAAGAATTTCACAGTAAAATTCATATGCAGTCCTTTTCCGGTCTAAATATACATGGAGTTTACTCGCAGCATTTTCATACGTGAACATGTAGGTTTATGCAGCAAATGGTATAGTAGCTTGGCAATTTTCACAAGTGGTGGTAGGAAGAGTAAAAAACGCTCACGGGCAGAAGATAGCGAGTCCGCACGCTACTTTACCAGCGCAAGAATAACTCTTGGCTGGCTTATGATCGTTAAGCAATAATCTCAGAACCTTCCTGACATGTTGGCCACGGTATCGATCCGTTCAAGTGCGACGGCCGCTGCCTCAAACTCGGCCGCGTGTTTAAATTTTACCATTAAAAGAGGATGTTTAAAACTATCGGCATTACTCAGTTCTACGAAATTTTCTGAAAGTGCAAAGAAAATTTGTATTCCAGAATTTGTTACAAAAAAAAAAAGAAGCACGAACCAGTCTAACTTATTACGCAGCTGCGAATCCGCTTACCTTCAACCAGCTGCTGTGTTGAACGACTCAGATACAGCTGCGATGTACAAAATCGCTCAACTGTATATTAAATAATTAATGGCTTCTCAAAAAAGTATAAATCTGTTTAAAAAGATATTTTCTGTAATAAATGCTCAAAGAATGTCCTGTAATGTGTCGCCGAAGGGCACCTTAAAATATAATTTTTTGAACATATGACTGTAAAATTATCTAAAAAGTTAAGATAGTGACGTCATAAGGTTCTAAAATATTTTCAAGGAAGGGAAAACCTATTAAAAAATATTTTTAAGGCAGGTTACTCGTTACAAACTTTTGTTACAAAAACTGTCGTATCTAAGCTAGTATGAATGTGTATAAGACACGAGTGTGAAGTTAGAGCTAGATAAAGTACTATTTTTGAGGGACAAAAACGAATCGCTAAGAAACAAGAAATAAAATTAATGTGACATATTAGAAAATTTTAAATCGTAATTTCTTGTTATTACTTATTGGAAATGGGTGTACTAAATGAATATAAAATGCAGTGAATATATATATATTAAAAACTTCAATCTATTAACGCAACAAGGAAGGACCGTCTGTACACTTAGGACCTCTACAGGAGACTAACCTCTGGTCACAAAGACCAAAAGATCCTTGTCCCTTAATAGAATAAAGTTATAATATTATCTACTGCATTTTATATTCATTTAGTACACCTATTTTCAATAATAATTAACACTAAGTATATGTGGCGCATTCTTTTGACGTATTTTGAATTCTATGAAGAAAATTACAGAAACCGTTTACATTTTTCTTCCACCACTTGTACTGTTTGTTATCCATTTAACGAGACAGATATACATCGAAATTCATTTTCTTCACAGCTTTCTAATTTTGAAATTCTTTTTTTAGTATATCTACATATCTGTAATGCTAGTATATTGACTTCACTCATGAAAGTATTATTGTAGCAATAAATACAAACGTGATAAAAGAGTTAATTCTGCAAAAAATTAAATGTCAAACGTAAACATAAGCAATACAGTAGCGATACTTCGAACGCGATATCTCAAATCTGAAGTAGGTAACAGGAGGTCACTGTTTCTGTCCCACGTATAATATTTACGTTGGAAAATCCTGATGCAGAAAAGGTATAATAAATGTTGAATATTATAAATTTTATATAAATATATATCTCATAGTTGCATTAATAAGTTAATAATGTATAATGATGTTACTTTTTAAATTATTTCTTAAAGCAAATATCTGATTTTTTATTCTGAGACAAATTAACGCGTGTCCGTAGAGATAGGTATACAAGAAATGTCCGTGACCCTAGCGTTAATACCGTTATCTAATTTTCTCAAATTTGATTTTTTTGAAATTTGATTTCTTATCATTCTCAAATTTGTATATTTTCTATCACGTTCGAACATCTTCGAGATTTTGTAAATCTTGAACGTGAATTTATTGTACACTAATAATAATAAACTAATACGATGGATCTCTAACTTCTACTTCGATTTTATAAATGTTCTCACATAAAAATTTTGTTACGAAGTACGATTACGAACTGAAGTGTATGTCAAGAAATAAATAAAGTTAGAAAATAAAAATGAAGATACACGCGATACATACAAAGTGTATCGCAACTTTCGTTTTCTATCCATTTCCCAAGAGATACAAAACACCGAAAACTAAAAAGAAAGGAATGACGCGCATCCAGTAAACTATTTGCCAGCAACGCCATCGTTTCTTCTATATCTCTTACCGACCGGTCCACGGAGTATAATTTAAAAGATCATGCCGCAGGCTGTTTAGTAAATCCGCGAGGAGTATCGCATGAGGCAAAGACTTATCGAGTCAAGGCAAGCGCACACTCTTCTCCTCGTAAGGAGCTACAAGGAGTTTCCATCTCGATTTCTTCTTCTCTCCCTATCCATCCATCCATTCTAAACTTCTTTCCCTTCGACGAACCTTCAAAACCTTTCTACCTTCCTCTCTACATATCCAACCTTTGTGCCAGTATTGCGTACAAGCAACTTCACTCGCTAACTCGCTTGCGCAGTGGTTGAGCAACTTTGGAGAATGCAGCAGCAACCGTCTGCATGCCTCTGCAGTCTCGTTCAGATCTTCTGACTCCACTTTTAAACTGCATCCAATAATCTATGCACCGTAATGGGCTTTCATGTGCAATATTTATGTCGAGATCCACTACGTATATTATTACTTTGACACTGTTATTACAGTTTAGAAGAAAGCATGATTAGGATAATTCTTGAATATTTCCTGGAAAGATAATTCGTAAGTATATTCAAAGTATCTTAGATAGGTAGAACTGGATATCCTCCCCAACTGTAGCTCACCTGAAGTCCCATAAAGGATAATACGACTGACTCCCTGACGACTTACTTCACCTAGAACGACGTATTCCCGTGAGATTTATCGACTGTTACAGAGGGTCCCCTAATGCCTCTGGATAAATTACACTGGGATATAGTACATGGGAATTTTATGAAGGACGTCCGGGGATAATCGACAAGTCAGAGACAATTTCCTCCAAATCTCCGTCTTACCCTGAATTACAGATTTGTTCGCATGACTTTAAATAAGGAGAATTTTAAGGTTAATGAACGTGAGAATATCATAAATTGTTACTCAAATTCCTACTCTGCCTTATTCCAATCCTGAGTCATAAATTGCAACCATTTTTGTTTCTATTTCACGCGAACTCCTTGAAGAATAGCCAAACTAATTTATCAATCAATGTCAATCGGTGTTAAATTTTCAACATTTACCTAAATAGTATAGAGATATCAAAATATGTTCTATATCAAAATATGTACGGACATGCGTCAAAAAAATAAATTTGTAATGTCGATAGTCATCGAGGCTGATTTAGTTTTTTTACATTCAATTTACACAAAAATCGACAGACACGGAAACTGCCAGGGACTCGAGCTTCACTATTATCATCGAGAATTATGGAAATGTGACTCTAAGCATGAGAACGAATCACTGCAAACATGAACCTCGCTTTCCACCTGCCATTCGTACCCCACTGAGCTAACGACGTGTTTTTGTGCGCACATTCGTCGAGTAGAGAAACCTGTCACCGATCCTCTTAGCTTCTCGCTTCTGACAGCATTCGAGAATTGAGACGTCATACGCAACTAATATTCCTACCAGACTCAACAGAAATAGAGCTTACTTTGCGTACCTACTTTCACATGGTCTAGCTTAACTACTGAATGGATTAGGAGCTTCTTCTTACTTAACTTTTTTTATAACATTTTTATATTGGATTTGTCAGGTGAGATCTGTGCCGTAGATATTTACATGTTGAAAAGTAAAGCAATGCATTTGCCAATGATATAAAAATGTTAAAATCGAAATTCTTAATTTTCGAAAGAACACGTAAAACTTTTACATAACATATAACCTGTATACAGATTAGAAAGAATTGCTTATTGAATTTATGTCGTTTTTTTTTTTTTTTTTAGAAATTGCTTAACTTTTGAAGATTCAACTTTTAAAAGTGTTTGCTTAAATAGTTGTAATTTAAAAAATTGGTTAAAAAGCGTCACTAACAGAGTTAAGAACATTTTATCTCTTACGATGTATTGAGATGCTAGTACGGTACATAGAACGATACACAAACAGCGATTTATGGTATCGCGACTGAAAAATATTATCCACCAATTTGTGATAATGGACACAGGCGCACCGTGAACAGGAGGGGCGGGGCACCACAGAAGAATAGCAAGGGGGAAGCGGGGGTTGAGAACTGAACCGGCGGCGAGCAGTTCGGGCAAAGTAAACACAGAGACGCGGGCCTCAACCCTGCCCAATTCTCATCCCTCTTTAACCAAGAGAACGTGATCCGATCCCCTTTGCTGCCATCTACACTTTTTGCCATTGGCGGAGGTCAAAGAAAATTATAAATCTCTTTATTAAATTTCGATTAGTTTATAATTTTAATTTTCATAATATACAAAAAATTTCACTTTTCATATAATAGAAATCAATAAATCAAATTCATCCACATTTTCAATATTGAAAATATAAATTTTTAAAAAACAATATACAAATCATTCTCACTTATTAGTTTTTAATTTAGTTTTATTAAACTGCAATGTCTCTCATACTCATGATTGGAACTGAATAAATATACTATTTTTAATGACAAATACTTTATAGATTATTCTTAAAGTTGCGAGGCCTATGTAACGCGTGATATGAAGCTAAACCTTCTTCCTTTCTCTTTGTGGACGTCCAATCTTCCACATCTCCACCAGGTTCTCATCCTACTTCATCTTCTCCCCAACTCCAACCGGAGCCTCGAGCCCCTCCTTCAGTTCTGGCAGCCTTTTATCCCATCCAAGCTATAATCAGTTTGGACGAACTGAAACAAGACTGCCCACCCGACAATGTATCATGCCATCCCGGACAAATTCGCAGAGGCAGATTGATTTAGTTATTGGCTCACGAAATTTAATCCAATAGGACACCACAATTAAGCGGTCCTTTGTCTGTGGCGTTCGGAGCTCCCATGAATATGATCGAATGCTACCGACCGGGACACTCTTGATTCTCAATCTTCTTCTAGTGAACGAAGCGAAATATGCATCCAGCACTGTTAATCCTCTGAGCCTTATATGCATGAAAAAGCACCGTCAAAGTGTATGAAACTCAAAATTTGATGGGTGCATTATGAAGCTTGCAATTTAATCTGTACTCTTATACTCGGAATGTTAATACTCAATAATAAGAATTTCTTTCCTTAAGGATAATCATACTTCGAGTTCTTAAAGATTCTTTAAAGTTCCCCTTTTGTTTGTAAGACTCTGAAGAACATACAAGTACCCCTATGAGGAAAGAATCTTCCAGACTCCCCATTAAAGATACGTATGCAACACGGTAGTCCCCAGGCCGCTCCATATTCTCATAATAGTCCTTACTAGCCATGACTAGGGACTCTGTTACATATGTAAGTAATGTAATGAATAAAAGTAAGGATCGCATCGGAAGGACATAAATCAGTCAGCAACCCTACCCGTGCATTCCGTTTATGCAAA